ATTGGGCTTTAGAGGATGAGTTCTTTTACCCAACGAATCCTCGTTTATACTATTCATTAACAGCTACAAACACAATGATGGCGGAATGACAATATCGCTTGACAGAAAGAGAAAATCTAAGCTTAGATTTACGTTCTTGCAACATAAGAAGGTCTCAACAAGTTGTCATTGCTATGTCTATTACCACTCCTCAAGAATAAGAGAGAACATTGTTTCGCATTCGAGTTGAGAACAATCGAATGACAATTCGTTACAATCGGTACAACTTGCGTCGTATTGCAAGCAACTGTGCTACAGAAGGGAGGATGCAAGAAGAAATTTTAAGCTACTAATTGAGTGATGAAGATGGACGTATTTCTGATCATTACCTATCTAACGAAGATGAAGACCCATGAAGAACTGTCATGCAAATCCTATGTTGTAACATTTACACTTTGGTCGTCGTACTTGTGTTTGCAATATGTTTATGTATTATATTTCTGTATTTTGTTTCTATGAAATATGGTGTACTACTCCAGTTAGTATTGTCCATCTAAATTTTAATAATTTATGTTATGTTATTCAACAAACGTTGGTTAGAGTGTTGGATAACTAATCTAAAAGGCAGTAATGAAATAACATTATATGAAACTATGAACTCAAAGAGTTTTTATATACAACAACAATAGTCACAAATTTTATACAAAAAAAAAACGTAAAAAATGAACTACATCCCACAAGGTGGTAGTCTCCTCTATAGCTTGGGCCGCTGACCATTAGGCAAAGCAAGTATATCTTGAGTGATTCCACCATCCATTGGATAATGTGTATGGTGGGTATGACGACCGACTCCATGCCTATCTTTGCCTCGACCTCTGTGTGACACTGATGGCTCCTGTATAACCCCCTCAGCTGGAACCTCAGCATCATCGGAACAGTCCTCGTATAGAATAGGAGAAGTAGGTCGTGTGGGCATAGGTGGAACAATATGTGGAATACATGCCTCCACATGTGGAAGTGATGTATCTGTTTGGTCTAGTGTAGGTGACATATTTGTTGTACCAACTAGCTTTGGTGAAGGTGTGAATGGAGTCGCCGATGCATCAACAAGTGGTGAGGTCAGTGGTGGTCCACATGATGTAACCGTTGGAAGATCAAGCGGTGATGTAGCGGCATAGTGAGCGGCTGGTGTAGGAATGTAGGAATCAGCAGCTAGGACAATAGAGGTTGATTGACAATCTACAGTAGTTTAGGGAAAATATGCAACCGATGGGCCTACCTTTGATGAAGTCGGAGCAGTATCCACGACCGGTGCAGATGTCTACCCATGTGTGCATGCAATTGCCCGTCGAGGAATGTGTACAACACGCTGTTGTGCATGCACTAGGGTTGCAACAACTAGCTGCTGAATGTTTGTCGGAGGTTGTACAAGTCTTCGGTGCTTAGAAAGAGCTGACAAACACTTGTAGCTTAGATCCCCCATCTGGTTGATGGCCACCAAACATGTCCATAAATCAGGCTCGCCACTAACAGTATCACGTGCTGCATGATATACCTGTGTCAGTGTCTATTCCTATAGCACTATAAAATAAAGATTTAAAACAAGATTACATAATTTTTGTACCACATTTAATTTATCTACCAAGTAAACAACACATCCCAACAGCTCAATGATACTACTAGCGGGCTGAAAACCAATGTCAGGACGTGACATCGGTGGTCCAATAAGTAGACGAGTAATGCGCCGATACCACTCCATGTAGGGATTGGTGACATCCATCATGTCGAGCGTAGGCTCGTCATGAACAATAGAATCCTGCCGCTTATCCCACATGCTGATGTACCTCTAATGTGAGATTATCTAGTCATAACCATGTCTACCATGCCTATTTGTGGCATGCGGCTCCCAACTGGAATCACACGACGTTGGTATAGGCTGCCTACATCCAAACTGTCACATAATACGTTTTAAAAAATACCACTCCACCACATCAAAACACATGAGCAGGGCTCGGGTAGTCCATAATTTTTGACTACGCAAGCAATAATCAGGTAGGCTGGCCAACACATCAGCAGTGAAAGGCTGTCATATCATCTATAGTATAAGAATAATGACTTTTTGTTAGATGTACAAAAAAATTAAAAATTTTGGTAGAGTTTCCCCTATATGTATGACCCCAAATTTTTTTAAAAAAACACCTAGTGCATGTTATAATGCATACATACACTAACAACAACTCAAATAAATGTCACTACCATCCAACAATTATACAAAAAACTACCAATCATACAACACATCCAATAACTCACCAATGAATAATGACCGATCATTTGCTGTGCATCAAACATCAAACCAACAATAGAATCCACAAGTAAATTTGGCAGTTAACAAACAATAATAAGACCAGCGATTGTTTGTATACCTGCTCATTGCGTATCTGATCAAGCTGATCTTTGTAATGTTTGAGTACATGGGTAGGTGTGTGTTGCTTAGAAAATGCAACATTCCAGACTCATCCATTACCTGCATTCCCATGGGAGTTGAACATTCACCCGTCACCCTGGAAGTTGGACATTCCTCCATCTCCACATACAAAACAACACTAGCAATGTTAGGGTTGTCAAGTACCACATTAACCATTGAAGTCACTAGTTCATCGTTGTCTATTTTCAGACCAACATATGTATTCATGATTGGTCCTATTCCAAGTGTAAAATGATATCTACAAGTCAACTTCAACTTGTTATGTGCCCTGTCCAACCCTATTACAGTGTAAATTTTACTCAACAACTTCAGCAGTTGTGCACCACTATTGATAACAATTTCACCTTTGGGAGGACAACTGTATGATAAACCCTCCGATCCATATTCCATTCGTCCGCCCCAATATAGCAAAATGGTAACTTGTTTTTCCATCATTTCAATTAGTTTCCGTTGTGGAATAAGTTTTGAATTCAGAAGAACCTGGGAATAGATAGAAACAATTAATACTTGAGGAATAATAGACCAATAGTTAATCACAGTCCCATGTGAATCTACCGCATGCGACCTAGAAGAATTGATCAATTAAGAAACCTACGAGGATAAAATGTAATTGTATGATACTAAGAAAGATGGAGATCCAACCTTTATATGGAAGTTTGAAAAAATAATCCCTAAAAATGGGTATCTCCTAACATGTTATCATGTATAGAATCAGAAATGAAACATGTTATCAAGAAGACAAACAATTTAGCTGTTTTTTTTGGCTAACAAGGCAGTAATTGATTTACATTTACAACTCTATCGTAATTATCAAAACTATCCAACTCAAGGATGACAATACTGGAGTAACTTGATTAATTCAAAATTAACATGCTTATTTTGAAATAAATGTGGTGTTTGATGCCTAAGAGCAATAACTACTGAACTTCGATTAAGATTGAGAGAGACAGACATGGAATATAGTTAATATGATTTTTTTTATTCTTTTAAATTAAATTTTTGCTTTGTACAGATGTTGAATTAGAAAGGACTTACTTGAAATCTAGAAACAAATATCACAACTTTGAATTCATTGTTGGTTTCCAAGTAACATGTAGAGAACCTACAAATTTCAGGGGATTTGAGTGTAATTTACTAACGAATATACTAACGAACATTGATGACAGATGTCTAAGTGTTAGGCATATACAAATCTTAGGGGGTCTGTGTATAATATTTCAAATGTCAGGAGGTCTGAATAATTAAATGACAAACCTCAAAGGGTTTGAGTGTAATTCTCCCTAAAAAATAATAATGTTTATAGTTGAGACCCAATCAATTAAATAAGCTTCTAAAATTAATCTAGATTGAACCTAAAATCCATAAATGTAAATCCAAATTCTAAGCTCAACTCGGTTGTATCCAATCACAAGCCCAATTTAATTAAACAAACTTCTAAAATTAAGGGTAATTTGAAGGCCGGTACACAATATATCACTTAATTTTATAAAAGTCATTCAGGAAAAATGTTTTGTACAGCGGTCCATTATTTTTGTGAATATAAAATATACCCCCAGGGTAATACTAATCGGTGTAATCTCATGGGTTTACAAATGGCCAAAACTCAAGTATCATTTCCACGAAATCCGGCCACTAAGATATTGTACAAAAGAGGGTGTTTGAAATTCAAATAAAAATGTTATAAAATTCATGAGATTTCAACCAAATCAAAAACACAAACAATCGATGACACACACCATTCTTGTGCTTAGAGTTTTTGTTCATCTATTCATATCAAATTTAGGACACACTAAAGATGTATGTTACCTTGTGCAAAGATTCACAACTGAGAATGTGAAATCCAAGAAAAAGAAGGCAAATGAGGTTCTTATAAAAATGCATAATTGAGAGTGGTGAAGCTTTATCTAATGTAATATTCATGTCCTTGTTTCTAGATTACCAAGGGACGGCGATGAAATAATGACCCAGTGTAATGAAAACGGTTTTGAGGGATCATTGCCCCAATAGAATCTCTAATGTGTGAAGTACACTGATATCCCTAGGGTTCTGGTGAAGTGACATGGAAATCCTTTAACATTTGACAAATACGACACAAAAGCTCCTTATTGAGTTTTTTTTTTCCCAGTAAGTAGCTCCCTTATAGAGTTACTAAAAAGTTTTTAATGAAATATCCCTTTCATTAATTTAAATATGTTAAAACTTTGTAAATAAACAAAAACAGTGGCAACCACCAATCACCCAACAACCACCACCAGCCACCTAACCACCACTAATTTAACATACAATTAAATTAACAGAGAATTTATATTAACGTTATATTAAATTAACAGAAAATTTATATTAACATTAAATTAAATTAAAATTATTATTTAACAGATAATTACAACAAATAAAATTAACTAACTAATAGTATAATGGTAATGAAGTACACTTACCTACTGTCAATGGTGGAAGAGCAGCAGCAAAGGTGGAGCAGATTTGGCCGTTGGGTGGTGGTGATCGCTAATGGTTCGCCTGAAGGAGGTATAGATGGGTTTTAGGTGGTGGTGGGTTTTGGTGGCGATGAGATGGGGCTTGGGTGCTCATTGGTTGCAATTTCGGTGGTGGTGGTCGTTGGTGTAGATGGGTTGCAACTTGGGTGTAAATGGGTTGCACCTTGTAGTGGAGAAAGCTTGGTGTAGATGGGTTGCAATTTCGCTGGTGTAGCTTCGGTCACAGCTGATTTGCCTGAATGATGTTAGGGCACAGATAATTTGGGGAAGAAGAAAATAAAGGAGAAGGAAAGAAGAGGGAATGTAAATAGATTTCGAACAAGCTAAAAATGTAAGTCCAATTGACGTTTTCCATGAAGGAAATAAAGGAGAAGGAAAGAAGAGGAAAAGTAAATAGATTTCGGACAAGCTAAAAATGTAAGTCCAATTGACAAATTGGACTTACATTTTTAGCTTGTATGAATGACCTACAGTGTTTTCAAAAGATGTTAGTTATCCTAAAAACGTCATTCCAACTGACGTTTTTAAAATAGTTAGGATTTGGAAAATACTTTCAAACTAATCCTCTTTTGTGAAATTTTTTTCAAAACCTCTTGGGTTGGGGTAAAAGCTCTTTTTTTAGGTCACCCGACCTTGTAGCTATTAAATATCAAAATATCGCAAAAATCATTTTGACTATTACTGAATTTATTGTTATGGATAAATAGGTATGTAATTAGAGTATATGAAACTGTATCAAGTCTCTTTTCCAAAAAAAAAAAAACTATACCAAGTCTAACTTATACACTAATAGAATTGAACTTACATCTATATATTATTATATGCAACTTAATCAAAATAGAAAGTAAGCAAAATCAATGCACTTACAGTGACGTAGATCTACATGAACAATAAAATAAGAAAACCAGAATATTCAGTCCGAGCCTTATAAAACAAAATGTCCTTAAGACAAATTTGTTCTCTCTCAGTGCTCAAGGTTGATGAGCAACTACCTCTTAAGATATAAAATATTACGTCTTTATAAAAGTAGCACTTCAATCTCCAAAGATGAGCGAATACAACTTGTGTTTTATACCTGAACTGAACCAAAGGAACAATGCAACAATATGCACACACACACACACAGAGAGAGAGAGATTCTGAAACTGAAATTCAGAATTAGGATGGATTGAAATTACACTGAAGCAGTCTATTTATAGACACTCCATTCCTATTCTAATCACCTGAAGAGTCACAAGACTCCTCTGTTCGGATTAAAGAGACATACCCTCAGATCTGTCCGATTGGACTTTTAAATTTAACAGGCAAAAAATTAGAATCCGATTGGACTTTTAAATTTCTGTTGAAATATGATCCACGTTCAATTTGTTTAGTTCAACTCATAGTCCGCACCGCATCAAATAAACTTTGTCTAAAAAGACTATAGGTTTTTAACCCAAGCCCAAGCCCCGGCTCGGTCGTGGTGAGTAGGTGGACACACGTATGGTGACCAAGGTAGTGTACGAAGTGTTGGTTTTTTTTCAATGTGGGACAAACCTTATTCCACTACACCTATCTTAATTTATTTAATCACTTCAAATGAGTCACTTTGAGACATAATTTCTCATTCAATATTTAATAGTTTTAGATAAATAAATATATGACATTCATCTCCTTGAGGAGAAGAACGCATTTAGACTTGGTCCCACCAATTTTGATGTGTGGGTCCTACTTTTATTTAAGCCTCAATTGCTCTAATAATCTTGTTTAAAACTATTTTTCCAACATTTATGTGTAGGTATCAATTATTACCACTCATGACTCACGTATTATGCATGAGCAATTGACTCGATTGTATATAATTCAATTTCTTTGATTATTTATTTGAGTTGCAAGTGACTCATGTACGTTACATATCTTATTACATGTATTCAAGTGGACAGGCCCTTTTGTGATCCACTTAGTTTATCCAATTGGATCCGTGGATGCGGAAATCCAATGAATGGCTAGAGTTTCAAGGTCAATGGTCAACAATTGAAGTCATTCTTGGAGAGTTTTCCTTTGACGAGTCTGTCGAAGAGTTTGTTGACCCTTTTTATCGAGATCACCCTACTGGATGATTTCTTTGCCACCTACTTGTTGTACATTAGTTAGATAGTTGTTTTCGTTATATATTCTTTGATAGTTCCTTTTATTTTTGGTTTTGCAGTATTTTTCTTTTTGGAGTTGCTTTTCAAGTGACCTCGTTCCCTTATTTATTTTCATTTTTCTCGTTGCATATGGTTATTTCTATTACAATAAGGACAATGCTTAATTCTAGTTGAGGGTGAGGGTTTGCACCCCTTTTTGTTTCTTTTTTTTTTTTTGCTTGCTTTTTGTTTACTTGTTTTGTTTGTTGCTCCTATAAGAAAATGACAAAAAAAAAATATGTTTTTAGCTATTTTGAATGTATTAATATTTTATTTTACATTCTTTGAAACTATGATATTTTGATTGAAATTTGAATAGATTTGCATATTAGCTAATGGATGGAATTTATTCTATTCTTGAGTATCATGCTTGCTTTGCCATTAGGACCTCTACTTTACGTACACTATTGTCAGTTAATTCTTACAATCTACTAGGTTGAATTCTTGTCTTAAAGGCTTCTCATGTATAGTGGAGATGAATATATTACCCTGTGAGTTTAGAGCTTATCTTGTTGGAAGGTTATATTACATTTACTCATGAATAGTTCTTTCATAGCTAATTCTTTCAATAATAGAATTATATTTTTTGGTTAGAGTAAAGGATGATAGTTGGTTGTATCCATATTAATTAATAATTTGCCATTGTTTTTGAAAAATGATTTTAGGCCATCTTTTGATTGAATTTGAGTCTTAGCTTGTTTCTTTGTAATAAATTTTTCCTTCGCAACCATGATTGAGCCAAAAATGAATGTTCGATTCTTAGCCATGAATAATAGCCAAGCCAGTCATAAAAGAAAAAAATATCTTACCTTGGTTATCCTAAAATTGCTATACTTTTATCAACAAAGTTGTGAAATTTATGGTATATGCTCAAAATGCATGAATTGGAAAAAAAAAAAGGAGAAAAGATGAAGAAGCAGAAAATGCTTGAAGTTTGAAGTTTCAAGATGTAAAGAAAAAAAACATGGAAAAAGCCATAAGGCCGAGAAGAGTAAAAAAGTGAGTGAAGTGATAACAATAGAAAAGAAGAGATTCAAATGTCAAATAAAGCAAATTGTCTTGGGATAACTCTTTTGAATTTCTTAATCCTTTGTTTCTTTTACCTCTTACCTTGACCCCATTATAACCTTGATGAAGAACTGATTGATTTTGAGAATGATGGTAAGTAATATGTTGGATTTGATAAAGGGATACACTGCTTGCATTGTTCTTATTGCTTTAGTATTCTTTCATCAGATAATGTTAAGTTGATTTGTTTCATAGTGTCTTTCATTGTATGAAAATAAGTGAGATATATTTGTGTTGTTAACATTGATTCTGCTCACATGTACCTTGAGTGAAACAATCATTATAGTCAAAGATTTTTATTCTAAGTGATATCTTGGTGAGAATTGCATCAAAGCTAGTTTTGGATAGCTCATAGGGATGGGTATTTGGTTTGGTAGATTTCTTGAATTAATTGGTATCACGCACATACGAGTTTTTGATAATAAAGTGTGTGTGAATACTCTTGCACAACATATAGGCCTAATAATAGCTATGTATGAATTGGTTTGAGTTTAATTGGCATATTGAGGTTTCCATTGATGATTAGAGAAGAATAGAGTGTTTGAAATAGTTAATGTGGAGAAGTTTGTTGGTGTCTTTGCTGAAAACCTTTACGATGTAAAACTCGTCCACTGGGGATCACCAAGGGGTTTAAAGGCTTATTGCATAGGCTAAATGTAATCATGAATGCCTACGAAAGTAGTTTTGTGTTTAGTTTTTATTTTGTGATGTTTTAAACTCCTTAGCATTTTAATATGAGCTTCTATTGGATTGAGTTATATTGCATAGGTTTTTCAAATTTGGCACAAAAATTGGATCATTGTCTTTTGAGTATTTAGGGTTTTGGTTCTTGATTAAATAAGATTAGGTGTTAGTTGAGTCTAGGATTAGTTTGGTTTTTTTTTTTGCTAAAGAAAAAAGAAACAAAAAGGTAGAAAATAGGAATTTTTCAAAAAATCTGGAGTTCTACCAGTAGTTTGTGTAGGTTATATCAGTAGGTGCTAGAACAGAGGGTCATTCTACCGGTAGATCGTGCATCACCTACCGGTATGTTGTGAATCTAAGGTGTTAAATAAGGGGTTTTTTGGAATTTCAAGGGTTTTCTTCACTCTTTCAATATAAATACTCCTCTTTCTTTCTAGAAAACCTTAGATAAACTTTTCCAAGTCCTTAGCTTCCTCAAATTCCTCCAATTTCACTTTAATTCTCTTCTTGATCTTAAATTTCAGAATGTCTCCTAAGAAAATTTTGTACCAAATCAACTTCTCTTACGAAATCTATGGCCTATTCTACTAGCTTGGGTCCTTGATGTTGCCATAGTTTCTACAAAGATGGTAAGTACAAGGGCAAGTTGGAGGATAACCCCCGAACAAAGCCCTAGAGGCTGTTGCTCGTTTGAGGCAGGCAATGGCTAAGGATAAGGACAAGAGGAAGAGGGGGGAGTCAGATGATGAAGATAAAAAAGGATGTACCTACTATGCTTAAGAAGATTTTACCTTTGAACCCTTGGGATGCAAGCTTTTTCCTTGGCTCCTTTATGCCTCTGTACACTCAAAGGTGATGGAAATTATGAAAGGAACGAGGGATGCTTTGGCTAAGGCTACCAATTCTAAAGGGAAAGATTTGGCCGTGTGAAAGAGTTTTGAGAAGCTAGTAATTATCTCTGATTCTGAGAAGGAGAATGATGTTTATGGGCCGGTTGGAGACGAAGCTTAATTTGGGGGATGCTTCTACTTTTGAATCAAAATAATAGAATTTAGAAGTTACTTTTTTTTTTTTGCCTTCTATTTTTCTTTGACTATAGTTAGTATATAGGTTCTAGTAGAACCTTACGTGTTTTCATTGGAGTAGTTGTCTTGTTAAAGTCTAGGTAGAAGAATCTTTAGGATTTAGACTTTATTTCTTTTTGGAGTCCATCTGTATTTGAAGGACAACGAAGAATGTGAATGAATACATCTTTTGGATCTTACAATGCTTTGAGTTCATTTAAATTTATGCTTTATAGTTTAATGGCTAGATT